CCTTAATATCTGACCTTGCACTATAAATACATATGGCTGTGTATTACAAGAATCGGCCCGAAACAGGTCCACAACACTATGCAGTCAACGGCCACGTTAGCATGCTATTTACAATTTGGCAGCGGAGTTTTAAAAAGTCGATTAAGCGGCGAGACAATTTTTTCCCTTTCCTCACAATATGCTATCGACGAAGTAATGTTTTCGTGTCCAAAGCTGCACTGTGGGCTATAGATATGACTAATATTTTATCCATCCATAAGACCATTTACCGTTCAGACAGGGATAAAAACAAGTGTTATTAGCCAGAACTACAGACTTACATGCGGCTGTGTTTTTAAACAGAGAGAGCACCACTATGATACAGTGATTCAAGAATTCTGCAACAACTGTTCAAAACGCATATTTTTACCAGTTTTCTATAATGTAACACGCTTTACAAAACCAAAGCGCTACTAGGGGAAGTTGGGGCAATGCCGGAGTTGGGGCAAAGCCGAAATTCGAGATATTTCGAAAACCGTAAGACATGGATGCCACCTGTCAGTGATGCTCTGAAGCTTAAGTAACTACAATTATCGCATGTTTGTTACGAATCGTCATTCGGAATACTTCGACTGTGAGGGCGCCAACAGCGTTTTCAAGGTACATTTCCCTTATACTACATGCGCCTTTGAAGCTGCATTTCTTACTCATTATGCTACCGTTTGTCTGGCCAATTCGGTCAAGTAATCTTTAGCATGTCTTTGCATAAGTGTGCTGCCTATTTGAAATTTATACAGCACGTTGAAAAGTTATGGGCCTGCAAATGAAAGTATGGCTGGCTGGGGTAATGCCGAAAACGTGCGATTACGCACGTGTTAAAAGCAGGGTTGTATACCAATCAAGTCGATTGAATTGATTGATTTGTTTCAACGCGTATTTTGAGTTGATTGGATTGAGTCGATTGACTTTTCGAGATGACTGGTTGACTGACTCGTTTGACTTTAGCGACTGGTTGACTGATTTGATTCCCGAAAATTAGAGTGACTCGTATGATTGAGTCGATTGAATGGAAAGTTCAAATAAGTTTTAGTTGACGAAAAATAATGACACCAATTGATGACATCAAAGATCACAAAACTGCACTGAAAACTGCTTGTCATCACAACTGCAATATGGGGTAGATGGCCAAATAAAGAACAGGGCCTAAACATGAATAGCCAACTTTGACTTTCAACTGCAATAACTGCTCCAATCCTGGTGATAGAACCTGGCGATGCACCTACCTACCTTTCTGCACTCAGCAGGAAACATTTTTTTTTAATCCAGATGATAAAGTGCAAGGCCCTATATACTAATAAAGTGTGATTAATTAACAATTCACATCTCCACTACATCTCCTCAGAAACAACCCACTGAACTCTATAAATATCTGAAACCCCTACAAAAATAACTGAAACAAAAGCGCCGTTTTCGTCTCGCTAATTACGTTTACGTAACGTAACTAATTAATAGCTAATTTGCTGCATTGTTTAATTTGCAGCAGAACGTTTGTTGATCCTTTTCTCCTGAGAGCCTAAGCATAACATATTTGATATATTTCATTTTCCTCAAAATATTTTACCGAATATTATTAAGTGGTTTTATTTCAAACGAAATAAAAATTAAAACGAAATTGGTGTTGTACAACCGATTTATTTTATGATGATCTACCATATAACATGATAATCAATGACGTCATCTTACCAAAATATCAAAAGACGTAGAATAAGGATTTAGAAAAGCTTAGCATACTTATGGGCAAAACGTTTTCAATTGTTTCGCAGCCGCACCGTGCCGTTTTCGCGTTTTAATTTTCCTTGTTCCTACTTCCTTTGTCCTTAACTTATCCTGTGGTTCCAGAGTCCCTGTCCTCTCCATTTCCTTTTAAATATATTTTTAATCCTCATCCCTATCCCCCAGTCCTAACAGTTTCAAATTGTATTGCAATAAAATGTTTTGCATTCTTCACATATAGGTACCTAACATTGACATGCTACGTCCAGAGTCGTGGACCGCTAAATACTTCAAATCTCTTCCTTCCCAATCTGACAACATCCCACGTCTCAAATGCACATTGTGTGGAAAGATTTTTCAGGCTGCCCGTCAGTCTCTGTCTAACCGAAACCGTCACATGCATGATGCAGGTAAGATATTTATTTCTATTTCCCTATGGTTAATATGTTATTGATGCATAACTATTATCCATTAAAATAGACATGGTGTAGGGTAAATGGCCAAATCACGAACACTGCCAAAATCCAAGCAGCCAACTTTCAACTGCAATATCTGATATTTAGTGTAAATGGAGATGGAATATGGCCAAAATTAAATTGACAACTTTTAGGTGAAAGGTGGTGATTTGGGTTAAGGGGCGAGTCAACTACTGGGCTATTTTTCACCCATTAAATAAAACTTCTGCTCCAATTCTACCCATTGAACCTTAATATCATGATCCACCTGTCCATCACTAGGTATCCTTCCTTATTACATAGAAACTTTGAATTGCATGGCCATTTATAATTTTAAATGACAATATTTTTATGTTTCTTCTGTAGGTAGGTAGGTAGGTAGGTAGGTACACCAGACTGCTATGGACACTTTTCCAAGTTGGTGGGGCAAAAACCTAATGTATGTCTTGGTTTGAGTCGTTTGATTGAGTTGATTGATTCCTTTCATTGTCGCGTTTGAGTCGATTGAATCAATTCCCGAAAACTGCTCTGACTTGATTGATTTGATTGGTTTCCCAAATTTGTCGTGATTGAATTGATTGCTATTGATTGAGTCGTATACAACCCTGGTTAAAAGCACGCTACGTGGACTTCACTGCTGTAGAATAGCAACGCGTATTTTTTGTCACACAAATTACACTTTCAACCGACACAACGGCCTGTTACCTATAAGGAATGATTTACCTGGCATTTTCTTATTATATCACACAATTATAACTTCCAGTGTGCACCGCGTCCTCAAGCTCTTAAAACGCGTGTCAGCTTTGATGAATTCTGGATAAAGTTTGAGATAAAATGGCAAAACATCAATGTCGGCATTACCCGTAGATCATTTCTCCCATTTTCGGCTTTCCCCGCAGTCCGGGGCAACGCCGAAAAAGTCACTTCTTAGATATTTTTAGTTTGTGCGTTTAACGGTATGCGAATTCATCAAATGCGCCTGGTATTTTTGAAAGGCAAAAGACTGGCCTCTCGAATGATTTCAACAAGAATAGCTTATGTTGTCTACCTTGCGTGCTACGGGCGTCAGAAAAAAAGTCTTCGGCGTTCCCCCAACTTCCCCTACTATGGACGTCAAACCCCTTGAGACCCCACTTTTTTGCGATAATTTTTAAATGCGTCAACTCTCGTTGACAATATTCTGGTAATGTGTGTTTCAGAACCTGCCGAAACTTTTATTACTGAGGTATTTTGACGCCAAACGATTATGAAAGGTACTTCTCATTCACTCGCAATGTTAAATTTCACGGAACGAATCTGCTGTGTGGGTAGAGGCTACGCGCTCGTGGGGCGGAGCCACGTAATGACGTCAGCGCTAAGCTCCGCCCTACCCCTCCGGCGCTCCTTGCCCGGCGACCGGTCACTCGCGTCTCGCGCTCCATTCAGGCTTGATGGTGGGCGGTAGCTGGTAGCGGTGGCGGGCGCTGGTAGATGACATTAAGAGCAGATGGCGCTGGTGGCGGGGCTCCAGTGTGGCCGAGCGCAAGCCTCTGCCCGGGCCTGAATTGACCTTAGCATTACGAGTGAATAAAAAGTACCTTTCATAATCGTTTGGCGTCAAAATACCTTAGTAATAAAAGTTTCCGCAGGCTCTGAAACACACATTGCCAGAATATTGTCAACGAGAGTTGACGCATTTAAAAATTATCGCAAAAAAGTGGGGTCTCAAGGGGTTTGACGTCCATAGTAAATCTTGGTCAAAAGAAACTACTGGGATACGTGAATAGTAAATGGCTGCTGTTGAATAAAACGGCTGCCATCGCGTGTCTCCTTAGTTCTACGCTTTCGACCGTGGGAAAGTTGGATGTGCCTCTCGCACTGCTCTAGCGATGCACTTTGGCACCCATCAATAGTGTCGAGATAAGAAGCGTCTCTTATTATCCCTCTAAAAGCGAACAAAGCATTGCTAGCTGTTTGAGTCAAAGTACATCGTAATTACTGCCGCATTTCCATATCACATGATTCGTATGGAGATATACACACAATTGGATGGTGAAAGCAATTTTGGTTCTGCCCTGCAACACCACAAGTCTATGACAAAGCGATCACATAGACTTAAACTGTTAGCTGCAGTAAACGGTGATCCGCGCTAAGCTGTTTGCGTGTCAAACGCAATCACAAAACCGTTCTTCTTTGCGAGTCTAGTATTTCAGACACAGAGCTGCAAACGATCGATAAGATCAACATTTTGATCCACAACCACAGTTGAGCTTCTTAGAAAGTCTGTACCTATCCATGGCTCAGCCGAGAGCCAGGAGCCTCTAATAAAATGCTTGTTTTCGTTTGCTTCTCAGGTATCTGATTTAAATATTCAGCGCAACGATGTAACTGAGAACATATATTTAGATCATTGAAAAATACTACAACATAATTAGCATATCTTGAGCACTCTTCATACATCTACAAGTGCCTGATGAGCTGATAATATTAGCGTTTGTCTATAGCTAACGCTCGGCGATATATGGCAGTTTGGTTAACGTGTTGAGCGGGATAATAAAAGGGAATCGGCTGGAGGAAGCAGATAATTGAATTTACCCAATGTTTACCTTCTACACGTCCGGTGAGAGACGAGCATTGTATCCCTTGCACGGCGCACGCGCGGTGCTGGCACGGTCTTCCCCCCCCCCCCGGCGATGCGCGCCGCCCGGGGCTCTGAGGAGGGGGGGGGGGGCTGTGGCGGGGGGCAAGCGGCGGCGGCGGCGGCGGCGGCTCACCGGCCGGGCGGCAGTGCGGTGCGGCGCGGCGGTGCGGAGAGTCGACAGCGCGCGAGTGTCCGGCGCGTGCTCCCTCCCGTCGGCGCCATGTCGAACGCGACGCTGGCCGGCCCGTCGCTGGCCGAGGTCACGACCTCGCTGGCTGATAATGCCACGAACGCCACCACACCGGCGTCGTCGCCGTTCTCGCCGGCGATGGCGGCGGCCGTGGCCGACACGCGTTTCGTGATTCAGCGTATCCTGACTCCGATCGTGATGCTGCTCGGCGTGGTGGGGAACCTGGTGAGCATCCTGGTGCTGACGCGTCGCCGGATGCGCAGCTCGACAAACAGCTACCTGACGGCCCTGGCCGTCTCGGACACGCTGTACCTGGCCGGCAGTTTCACGCTGTCTCTGCAGCACGCGGTGCCCGGTATCGGCCACCCTGACCACCGTCCGTACTGGCATTACATCCCCATCGGCAGGTGGATCGTCGACGCGGCAGGTCAGTCCACCGGGCACTCACTCACTCTAAGTCTCAGTCACTCAGTCACTCAGTCTCCAACTCAGTCCGCGGGCCGGCCGGCCGGCAGGCGCGGGACGTGGGAAAGGCCTCGGGCGTCGGGGTGGCATGGAAAGTCCGTCTTTGACCGCCTCCAAGTTGCCTGGCCGTCTCAACATGATTGGGAATGGCAATCGGATGCTATTTGATACACCTATATATACCTATATAGGTACCGTTTTGTATGTTTTTTTTTTAATTTTCTTAATACGTATGCTTTCTTGCTGTTTTATACGTACTTTTGTGCCAAATGCTTTTTAACTGAAAAACCTAAATCATATCATATCAGATATTTAGGAATACATCCATAAAATGGGTTTCCAGCGTTGCACGTCACATAACACAAGTACCTAAAAGCAGTTAACCTATCAATCAACATTTGTATCACCCTTTAAAAGGCATCAGCGATACACTTTTTATGTTTTCTTCCCTTTTAATGAGTTGACTGTTTGTTTTCTATTGTTCTTTTTTCATTTTTATGCTTTCTGTGGTTTCCTTATCCCAGATATCTGATCCGAAATTGACGTCACTAGTCCGCTGATTTGACGCCCCGTGCCCATTCCTAATCATCCCCGCACCACTACCTCCCTCTCCTTGCTTTGGATTAGCCGTGACCTTTTCCCGAGCGCATATTGTAATCATATTGCAATATTTAATCTTGACGTCTGCACTTGGATAAGTTCTAAGTGGAGTTGCTGGATGGTCAAAGTTCAGGCTACAAAACCCGCAACTTACGCTCACGCTTCGAAAGGTTCCACGCTAGTTAGTCGCTTTCAGGCTCAAGTTTAAGACATTTCGACACTCTTCATGAACTAATTATTAATGATGAAAATGTGAGTCGCCGATAACTTGGAATGCTTTATTTTTTATTAATTTTTCCTTTGGATGGCAGAGCCGATTAATAGTTAAAGACCGTCGCGCTATATTGGCAGAATCAGGGGAGGGACGAACCGTGTTTGACCATGTTTCAGTTGGCGACGAGCAATATTTCACTGTGTCTTGGGCCAGCCATTGCGTTCACGAAGGAGCGTTTTCATTAACCGTTGACTGAGGCCCTGCACGCACGTACAGAACCTGGTGGCAAGGTAGATCGATGCAAGGTGGTGCAACAAACCTCGTCTACAATACCGATATAATTCACATTCAGCTTGTTATGAAACGTAATAACACACTCAGAAATCAAATCACTGGTCGATCGAGGACATTAGCAGGCGACCATTAGATTCCGTCTAAAATCAAAATTTTTCTGTCACACTTAGTGGGTGGGTCGGATGAATTTTTACCACACTATGCGTATTCAGAAACGAATTATTCGACACCAGTAATATGTATATGATCGGTAGCTTTCGGGGGCTGCTGCCTCCTTCATCAGCCTGCTTTTTAAATGCATTAGAACACAAGACAATACGTTTCAAACATGTCTACCAAAAAGTAAACCGCCACGAGGAGAAGTTGTAACGGTACGTCTCAAGCATAGATGCACAAAACAGTTTGATACATGATAACAAATAATAACTCATAATTAGGTCGTCATCGTCCGTAACATCCGTAATAAAACATTCGACATTAATCGTGATCCGTGGTCGTAATAATCGAGTTCGTGATCCGTGGTCGTAACAATCGAGTTCGCACAATCGGGGTCATGACATATTAATCGAGTAACAATCGAGTTCGTAATAAAACAATCGAGTAACAATCGAGTTCGCACAATCGGGGTGATAACACATTAATCGATGGTAATCGTTATAGGATCGTAATCGTTACATACTCGCAGGCGCACAAGCTTGCATAAATTCGCTCTGATAGCCACACGCCTATACAACAAAACAATTTTCAACAATCCAAAAGCAAGTGTGACTATTTTTGACAGCTCACTCAGCCTCATCGAAAAGCGCCTTACACACGTAGTGCCCGGTACATATCAGGCACCTCCCACCCAGGTAAGATGTTAATGCTATTGTGTCTATCTACCCTGGAAATGTAAAAACCCTCCTTCACCTTTCGTTTACCCCAGTTCGTTTCATAATCCAAAATTTTAACTTCGTCCCATTTGATAGAGTGCCCTGTCTCTAGCACATGTTTAGATATCCCTGAGTGATCCCGGTTTCCGTTTGCTATAGCTCGTTTGTGTTCCGATTCCCTCGTCCTTAGCTTTCTCCCGGTTTCTCCTACATAAATTTTTCCGCACTGACACTTATTCTGATAGACCAGCCCAGCCTTCTCCTTCACCCCCAACCTGTCCTTAGGTTTGACGAGTCTAGCACTAAGGTTGGCTGCAGGAATTCCATATTTAAAATACCACACTATGCGAATGCATCACTTTGAAATAATAGTAGGTAAGTCGGATGTTTGCAATTTACAAAACACATTTTTTCAGGAGTTCCTGCGAATTTTCCTGTGAGATTCTTTTTTGAAAAATATTTAACAGCAAGCTATATCAGCGTAGGTATAGTCAGATTCCGTGCTCATAATATGCAAATTTGAGTCGTGACATATTTGGCCGAAACTCCCGGGGATGACCTGCAACGTATGCCAGCTGTGCATGGTCTGCTGCTTTGCTGTTTGAAATTTAACAGCGGCTTATAATGCAAACTTTAAATCGGAGGGATAAACTGTATAATATGTTATCTTTATCCTGCCTCGGTGCTCCTTTTCCTTTTAATAACCAACGCTATCTGACTAGATTTGTAAGATCCTACTGTTTTATTCTTACGCTGTCCAGTATTGAGAACAGGGTTGTATACGACTCAATCAATAGCAATCAATTCAATCACGACAAATTTGGGAAACCAATCAAATCAATCAAGTCAGAGCAGTTTTCGGGAATTGATTCAATCGACTCAAACGCGACAATGAAAGGAATCAATCAACTCAATCAAACGACTCAAACCAAGACATACATTAGGTTTTTTGCCCCACCAACTTGGAAAAGTGTCCATAGCAGTCTGGTGTACCTACCTACCTACCTACCTACAGAAGAAACATAAAAATATTGTCATTTAAAATTATAAATTGCATTGCCATTCAAAGATTCTATGTAATAAGGAAGGATACCTAGTGATGGACAGGTGGATCATGATATTGAGGTTCAATGGGTAGAATTGGAGCAGAAGTTTCATTCATAGACCTCTACATACCTCTACATAGACCTCTACATGGTATGTAGAGGTCTATGTTTCATTTAATGGGTGCAAAATAACCCAGTAGTTGACTCGCCCCTTAACCCAAATCACCACCTTTCACCTAAAAGTTGTCAATTTAACTTTGGCCATATTCCAGCTAAGTCATCAGGCCATCTACCCCATGTAAAGCCCCTGTCTGTCTCTTATGTGAGTTATGCGGAGCTCTTCTGAAATGAACCCTAAACATAATGAACCTAGCTAGGTTTCATGCCACACTGACACCATATGAAAGTGTTGAAAATGTGCTACAAATTTCACAACTTCATTAGGTATGCTTTATGAAGACAGCAGGAAAGCAGGTAGGTACCTACTTACCTGCCTAGATGTGTCACTGGCTACCAACAGTACCAACGAAGGTAGATAGGTTATATGTGAAGAATTCAAAACATTTTATTGCAATACAATTTGAAACTGTTAGGACTGGGGGAAAGGGATGAGGATTAAAAATATATTTAAAAGGAAATGGAGAGGACAGGGACTCTGGAACCACAGGATAAGTTAAGGACAAAGGAAGTAGGAACAAGGAGAAAATTAAAACGCGAAAACGGCACGGTGCGACTGCGAAAAAAAAAAAACAAAGAAAACGTTTTGCCAACAAGTATGCTAAGCTTTTAAAAATCCTTATTCTACATCTTTTGATTTTTTGGTGAGATGACGTCATTGAAAATCATGTAGTATGGTAGATGTAGATTATCATAAAATAAAAAGGTTGTACAACACCAATTTCGTTTTAATTATTATTTCATTTGAAATAAAACCACTTTATAATATTCGGTAAAATATTTTAAGGGAAATGAAATATATTAAATATGTTATGCTTAGGCTCTCAGGAGAAAAGGATCAACAAACGTTCTGCTGCAAATTAAACAAATGCAGCAAATTTGGCGAGACGAAAACGGCGCTTTTGTTTCAGTTATTTTTGTAGGGGTTTCAGATATTTATAGAGTTCAGTGGGTTGTTTCTGAGGAGATGTGGAGATGTGAATTATTAATTAATCACACTTTATTAGTATATAGGGCCTTGCACTTTATCATCTGGATTTAAAAAAACGTTTCCTGCTGAGTGCAGAAAGGTAGGTAGGTGCATCGCCAGGTTCTATCACCAGGATTGGAGCAGTTATTGCAGTTGAAAGTCAAAGTTGGCTGTTCATCTTTAGGCCCTGTTCTTTATTTGGCCATCTACCCCATATTGCAGTTGTGATGACAAGCAGTTTTCAGTGTAGTTTTGTGATCTTTGATGTCATCAATTGGTGTCATTATTTTTCGTCAACTAAAACTTATTTGAACTTTCCATTCAATCGACTCAATCATATGAGTCACTCTAATTTTCGGGAATCAAATCAGTCAACCAGTCGCTAATGTCAAACGAGTCAGTCAACCAGTCATCTCGAAAAGTCAATCGACTCAATCCAATCAACTCAAAATACGCGTTGAATCAAATCAATCAATTCAATCGACTTGATTGGTATACAACCCTGATTGAGAATCTGAACAATTCGTTGAGAATCTGAACATCAACGGACTTACTCAATCTGTGCACGCTCCCACAAGGAACGATGCTGTGCTAGATTTGGTGCTCTCGTGGGGTGGGGACATCGATACGACTGTGGGTGAGGGTGTGTTTGAATCGGATCACCTAGAGACATGCTCTCGATTTATCGTGCAACTGTCAGCCGTTCCTCGGGTCACCAGAACCTCTGGATTTAACTATCGAGCCGCTGATTTTAACCAGTTACGTGCCGCTCTTAGATGTCTTCCGTGG